ATGTATTTTGTTCCTGTTTATAGGTGGTTTTGCAAACATAAGCTTAATTCTAAGACAAGTTAGATTACAGGTTAACTTTATCAAAACAATCAATGAAAACTAGGGAGCAAACTAAACGTATTTTATCTTAATTTTGCACTGAATTTTAGTGTGCACAAAAAATCCCATCATGCACTAAAACTAAAACCCTCGGGTATCAAGTCGTATATATTTCTTTTGTCAGGATGAGGATTTGTAGTGATTGTAGTAATTTTGACGGCTGAATTCATGAGTCGAACTAAGCTAGCTGTGCTCACTAGTGACAAGCTTGAAGATAGATTTCCTGGAGTTCTAATGGGAGGCCCTGAACAGTGGAGTCCAATCAGTGTTGGGTGTGAGACAGTTATCCACCTTTAACAATGCATGAAGGGTTGTACAGGATAATGGATCGATTGAATTTAGACATTAACACCGTTGGATGCCGGCTCAGTGATCTAGAGATTAAGCGTTCACTTGCGAGATCAAAGCTCCTGTGTTCGCATCCCGCATGTGCTCTCATGGATGCGCACTGTTGAATTGTTCCACGCTAGGACGAAACAACTATCTAGTTCTTTCAGGTTTTCGATGGTTGTCTAGCTTAGATCGACTCATAAATTCAACATTTTTAGATTACTGAATCGAAATCCACGATGATTCATAGTTTTCAGTTATCATACATACATCAGGTCTTAATCCAGTAAATTGATCTTCTTTAGTAAAAAAAAAGTCTATTGCAAAAAAAAGCATTCATCATTTTTTGACTTTTTTAACTCACAAATTCCATTAATGTTCTCTTTTTTATTAATTTCCTCTTTCTAATTAATAACAACGAACGTCAGGAATTCGTATACTCCTCGATCCAGGTTTACTTTCGGCATTAGTGATCTTTGTAAAATATCATCTGATCATAATCTCTATGACAAATTTATGACAGATAACATTTGCTTTTAGTTTTGCTGGCCAAATTTACAAGGAATCCAACTTGTTGAATAATAAGTCAATAATTTCAATAATTTTATAGATGACTTTTATCAAATAAAACTTTATCATTGTTTAAACAGTGACATTGTTCAAAGTCCACGTTTTTTTTTAAAAAAAAGATTAACATTTTTAGAGATTTATTTTTGCAGTTATTATACAATGTAACATGATTTAATATGACATTAATAGCCTTTCTCACCGATTTGCTTTGTATCTATGACTCATTTTCTACTGTTTCATATTACGCCGAAAAACACTATCTACGATATAGTAACTCATTAATGTTTTAAAAAAATTCCATTAAAATGTTATAATCTCTGGCATTATATGATATCTTGGTATAACCTCAGAATAAAACAAATCAACACTATGGGTTAGTGGATTTATAGTGAAGTTGAACAGTATTAAAAACAGTAAGTATTGTAACTGTATATTCTGGTTAGCGTTTTTTAGCGAGTTGGTTTTCTAAGAGTTGGGGACGCTAACCCCATGCCCAACCCTCCTCCTTTACCCGGGTTTGGGACCGGCAGTAACTCTGGAAGAGTTATAGGCGGAGTTAAGTATTGTAATAGCGATTTTAAAAGTAGACAACTGTGTTTCAACGATCTGTCCATACATTCTAAGTGGTTCACATATACTTGAGAATTAATGATAATAATTTAAAATTACGAGAGTGAATGGCGATATAAATTCTGATTACATTATAAAGTAAATTGGTTAATATCAGAAAACTATATAATCTGATTGAATAAAATCAACATTATTATTGACTCAATGGGATTATCAAAGAAAATAATGTAGTATGTCTTAACACCAACACTACTATGACCTTGTCAACATAGCAGTACTACGTGACTGACACTTATATGGTGCATTAGAAATCTTACGCCATTAGATTATTAGACTTTCTCAATTTTATGATTGTGTTGTTACTAACTGAAGTGAGACTATAAATAATGGATGACTGATATAACAGGATTAAAATGCAAAGTTACATTCTTTTACTCATTGTGAGCTATATTCAACATTACTTCAGTTTAAACTCAATATGATGATTATTTAGTGTAGTATTTTGTTTTGTTTTCCAGTGTGATAATTTATTTGACATAACATTAATCGAGTGTGGCGTTCCGGATATAATATTCTTGTATTAAATTAACAAAAACTATGCTCGGTATGACACGCAGCATGTGATTTTTTATATCTCCGAGTATTTTCCATATATGTGATTTCATCCTAATTAATAGTTGATATAGGTGTATAATCAATATATGAATGAGTGTATTTTCGATTAGAGTCGTAGTCGTGTTCCGGGTTTAATAGATCTTCACTCGTACTAGTCTTAGTGTTTTTACTTTGCGCCGTGGTAATTATAGTGGTTCCTCATTTTACAAGTGAAAGTAATAATCAATTCCGACATAAAAATTAGCGACGATCAGACTAAACAATTAATGACGCAATCATAACAATGTCCTTTGAACGAATCTTATGTGGCCTTGAGAAACTTCAGCCAATCAGAAAACAGTCAGTACAGGGTAAAAATATATTATACAAAATTAAAAAATTAGAGTGGATATACTTCTCTAAAGACTTTTCAAGGTTAGAAAGAGGCTCTGCAGTTCTGAAATTATAACATATACGGTACAGGAACTAATCCATATGACTGCATCATAATCGACCTCTGGAGCCATGATAAGGCCGCGAAAATTCTTTTAACCTCTACATCGCTTCTATATTAGCGGTGTGTACTCCCATTGTGGTAACTACAAAACGTGGCTTGTGAACGACGATATGATGCACGTAACTATGTCTAGGTAGGCATCGATATGCTCTCCAGTCATTCGTGTATATTGTGGTACCCGGTTGCACATACTCTCGTATAATTGGTATCATCTTTATATCCTGTCGGTTTCTTACGCCCTAAAAGTATCCCTTTTGAGATAACCATTCATATAGACCAAGAACCTGCTAAGTATACTTAAGGAAGTGCTACTTACCCAGTCTGCTCTAACACTTCCATCTCGACTGTTTCGTCGATTTCTACGATTCTCCCGATTTCTCAAAATGACTGATTTATACTTGTCATTTTCATGGAACATATATATCGACAGTATTCGTGCCATTGAACTGCCGAAGCTTCAGTAGCATGTGCAAATTTTGCAGCCAGTGTTACTGGCGCTTTTATTATCTAGTTTGCAACAATTATCATAATCTGTCTTAGTATCAATCGGGATCGAGTGAAAAAAGTCCCCGTTCTGGCAGACTTTTCCCTCCAATATTTATTACATCGAAGTACAACATCGTTACGATAGTCTGCACATTGTCCAGTAGAATTTTGAACACCGCTTCTCAGTAATCCCGTCTGTTGTAACCGCTCAACTACAGCTTCCTTGAAATCAGCAGTAAACTGATCTCTGTGACACTGAAATCATTCACTCGCTTCTGATTGACTCGTCCATAAATTATAGACTCGCCCTATTGCTCGTCTATTGCTTTCATTATTTAGTGCTTGTACATTCTATATGGCTATTGGGTCATTAGCTCACTTTTCTTTTTGTCTGTTTTCCTTCGAGATTCTCGCAATCCCCCAGCACACAATGTACTTTTAGGTTGAACGCAAACCTACGAAAAGGCTAAACACAACATTTATTCCTATTAATGTTTCTCCTGTTAACCAATGAATAAACGCTAACATCCATTAATTTGATTGTCTTTTCTTGAAATATAAAGGCTGTCTTGCAAATTCCGAACTTCTCTTTTTATTCGTTTATCGATTAGATCCGTCCTCGTATTAATAGTATTCCCCAACTTTAATATTTCAGAGCCTAATTTGTACAAATTACAATAAGTTTAGTTTCAGAAATAATGCGGTAAGAAAACAAATACGGGAAAAGAGAATGGAACCTTTGATTACTTATTGGTGAATCTTCTTATATACCTAAAACCTACTGCAAACAATTTACGTTTTATTTGGATTTAAAAATCAGTCAAATAGTGAATATAGCAAATTTAGCTAAAATATCGAGTCTTCAATAAAGGACTGTAACCACACTCCTACTTGGCGTTGAAACTTCTATTATTATGTTTCGATTTATGTATTTAAAGGAAGTCATTGTCACGAGTCTAGGGTATTTCATTTTTAAAGCTGATCCATATAATTTTCTGAATATAAATTTAATAAATGTTTCTATGAACTTCGTTCAATTAGAAGTGGTAAAAACTATCATTTAGGTATAGTTCATCTTAAAATTATTAGTCAAACAAAATCCAGGGACCCAACTACACTTGAGAAAATACGTTTCTTCACAGTATAAATTAGCCGAATCTTTGTTTCGACACATGGAATAAGAAATTAGAATCGCACATTTATCACAGACATTCCATTCATAAATAGCTATTCAAATCGAGACGTGTAAACAGTTTATTTCTTTACCAAATCAAGCGGTTCATGGATTTTATCTTCCTTGCATTGACTACGGGTAATAAACATTCCTTCCAAGACTGTTTTCTTATTAAAAACGGAAAAGTATAGTTTGATGTCATTAAATACATTGGACCAATATTAAACTTAATATTTCTAATAGATTATATCTGCATGAAACAAAACACTAAATTAATATCATCAACTAAGAGAAGTCCGAATTCATCTAATATTAATGATCTATGTTTCATGTGAATTAACCTATGGATTATTTATGTAGATGAAAAACAAAATTGTCAAAATAGTTCCCGGAACGGGATTTGGACCTAAGGTAGGAAATAACTTGTTTATAATGTGATTTTTCTATTTTACAATTCAATAGTTCATAAATTCCGGTGAAATATAGTGTTAAAATCTTCACGAAATCGTCCTTCTGTTCACTTCGAGTCTACAAAGTCATCATGGTTTATATGCCTTTTAAAACTTAACCCTAGAACATAATCACCACACATCTTAAAATACAAAAGTTTATAACATTTTTACTTTAGTTAACGAGTTAGCAAATATAGAAATGTTTTACAAAGAAACGACTTGTATTTTAAACATAAACCAATTACAGTTCATAACAGTTCTATATTTAAAACATGTTCAGACCTTTCTCACTTATACCCCAACATAACGATTTCTCCATTTTAAATTTAATTTAATTAATGACATGTTGATTCATGCACTTTTACTAAAAGCTTACAACTTATCATGAAGCTAAATACGGAAATTCGAACCAAGCCGCAATAGGTGTAGAGATATTTTCCTTTTATGTGTCTTATAAAAAACAGAAGGAGGCGACGAAGAAACTATTACTAAAGAACAATTCATTGTAATATTGTATATTTCGTGCTGAAAATTCTTTACTATAACCAAAACAAATGTTGCTGAAGAAATTGACTTTTATTATTTTTAATGACTTTAATTTGAAAATCACTGGTCCCTATTCCTCTACTAACTATTATATTAAAGGTATTTTCTACAATACACTAAGTAAAAACATAAAACAACGAGAATGGCAAAAGAAAAAAATCTATACAGCAACAATTAATAAACAGTTGAGATTTACCCATGTTTATTATTAACATTATTGTTTTCATTACTAATTTACACAATTATTTCAATAACAAACAAACTAACTAACTAAAGAACACAACTTATCTGTACATTAAATAAAAACAAATAATTGATCATCATAGTTAATATGGATGAAAACTATACTAACAATTATAACAGTGAATATTGCTTATTGAAATGAACAAAACAAAACAAAACATTTTCCCTAATATCTTTCTTGTTTTACATTAATATAGATTACAAATAAAAAATATAGATTAGTTGGAGAGATTATTTCATATGACGATTAGTTTTTCTTTCAGAAGAATGAAGATTTCCAAAAAAAAAAGGAATTAGTTAGTTCACATTTATGAATTAATTAAAAGTAAAAAATAAACGAGACATGAAAATTGAAATGATAATGATTATAGTGATTAAGAAAGGCATTGGAAAAAATCTCAACATTTAAACAATACAATTCAATGTAGGAGATTCATCAAAGTAAAATTTGTTAAGTTACATAGTAGGTTGTGATTATATAACAACTGTTATTATTAGTATAATAATTGGTGAACTTTGGCAATTGAACAATAATCTTTTGAGATCAAGAAGGAGCATGAAAAAAGGAAGAGAATCAGTAATGAGGAATGTACACATGTATATATTTCTCTATTTCTTACTTAGAATCCATTAGATTCAAAAACAGACAAACATGTATTGAACAGCAGTCTATAATAAGTAGTGCTGGTTGTTTGCTGAGCAACAGAGAACAAAGGTAAATACATATAGTTCCTGTGTAAAAATAAAATAGTTGGAAGGAAACAAACAATGGAATACAGTAAACAAGAAAGTGTTGATGAATGATGACTCAGTTTAAAAAACGAAACAGTGACAAAACAAACCAACAAAATAACCGCCATAACAATTACAATGATATAGGTAAAAAATAAGTTAATTTTGATAGTATTGCAAAATAAATTATTTACGTTAATCAATAATAAAGAATTTTCTTCTAATCGCATTAGTAGTAGTGACAATCATAGTAGTACAATTCATGTAATCTGAAAAATGTGCAACATTAACAATGAAAAAAAGACACATGTATGGTCTGATTGAGTAAAGACGATGGAACTATCTTTTTGGTAACATTTTGTTTTCCCCTTTCCCTCCCCTACCAACATTCACACTCGTTTTCTCCCAAATAAATGAATTACGGAACCAGAAAGTAAATATTATCCGTACACATTGAATTGATAAAGTGAAGAGAATAAGTCACATTGAGCATTTTATTTCTTGTTAGTAATGATTTTGCAAACTGTACAGTTATATATATATATATATATATATATATATATATATACGTGTACATTTAACATTTTCCAGATAATTGAGGATAAGATGAACAAATAAATAGTACGAACTGTAGTATATATATTATGATGAGGAATGGAAATACCGGATATGAAAGATAATCATACAATTTATGCATAAGTTTTTCTCTTTGTTTACTTTACTCTTAATTATACATAATACCAGTGGAATTTTTCTTATTCATAATTTACACACATGCAAAAATAGTTAATTTTGTTTACAGACAATTGACTAATATGAATATAATCACATTAATCCCCTTTTTCACATTAACGAGAAGAAATGAAAATAATATGAATTGGGTTTCATTAATAGGGAGGAATTTTCTTTTTTGTTCTTTTATGGATTGACTGATTGGTTGTGGAAAATATATATATGTTTAATAATTATAAAGATCATTTTATGACCTATATTTGTGTGTGTGTGTATTGGTAATACAAATATCACAGTATAACACAATAAATGATAATTCAATTTAAGTTTATTTATTATTGAAAAACTTTATTAGATGTTGAGGCAGATGAATCCCAATCATTTGAATGACATAGTGGTATTTGATTAATCGATGTATTTTCTTTCACTTCAACCTGAAATTTCAAGGTGAATAACAATAAAGACCCTTTCACATGATAGAAAATTTATTTCTAACACATAATAAGTAAATGAGTATGGATAGTACATATGAATACTAAATATGAACTAATATTGTCTACATAACATGAATGTTATCTGTATAAAGATGACGATTTATGAAATGATGAATTTTAGTCAATTGAAAAAGTAGTGTACTATCAAATTGTATAGTTAAAATTATATTGAAATTTGAAAAGGTGACAAGTTTCTTCGATATTGACACAAACAGATATGCAGTAGTTTGACTATAAGCACTTTAACAATATCCACTATGATGAATTATTTCCAACCTCGTTGATACTAATTCACAATTAATTCTTACCGTTAAATGGTTTATTTAGTGGTTTTATTCGTTTCAATATCACCCCATTTTTATGGATTTATTCTTTGTATATTACTTACTATTTGAACTGATACATTTTTCTGAAGACATATACATAATTTTATAAGTCTGATATTAAATATTGTTCAAATATAGCGTCATGTTAAATCGATACACCTATTAGATTGCATTTGGTTTTTATCATTTCAGCTGTGTATCAGCCAACTGGATTAAAAATTCCATATTCTTTACCTCACGGAACATCTCTATTGATATCGGTTAGCAAATATACCAATTGTCCACATATTTATTTCATTTTGAAATGAATTGAACGAACTGTAATGAATTAAGAATATTCTAAATTTATTTTTTTTCTCATTCAAACTGAACAAATTACACCATATTGTGTTATATTCATGTCAGTCTTGAATAATTGCGACAATATATGACGTTGAAACAATCACTAAAGTATTGAGTGATAATTATAAATAAAATCACATAAATTAAACATTATTACATAAGAAATAACTTACAGGTCTTTGCCATGCCAAAAACAAGCCTTGCTGATCTACAATATGAATCGTATCACGACGAAAGACAAGATCAGTTACTCGATCCTTTAAGATTCGTGTACATACAAGTGGTTCAAGTATAGGTACATCACTGATTCGAGGGCACAGCGGAGAACCGAAAATACTAAAAAAAATTAGAAATGAAATTTTAAGATCAACCGACAGCACAATAAATAAAGATGGTTTTTACAATAAACCGTTAATGGTCAACTCAAATGTGGAACTTATATTGAGAATGTAATGATAGTGGCTGTTTAATCATCTGTGACTTTATGGACTGACACCATGTTTTTGTTTGGCCGCCCCCAGCTTTCTTCTGGCCTACTCATACGCAAGAAAGCATCGCCCGTTGAAGTAGGCGGTAGTTGGGCATACGTAACACATGTCCCAACCACCTAAGTGATGTGAACAGATAAACATAGAGGCCAGGACAAACAACGGAGGCTATTTTGGGGGACGTTATTTCACTTAATTCAAAGTTGGTAGAATACTAATATTTAATTTTCTTTCTAGTTTACTGTATAAACCATGAGCTTCCGTTTAATGTATGATTCACTGACATACCCATTTCTGTTCCAAAGCTATTTTGATTTAAATTCAACCTTTTGTACTCTATTTTTCTTCCCCCATGCCCTGTTCGGACGTAATTGTATTTTTTTAATTTTATGTGTTGTGGTCGTGTTGGCCATCTATTTATTTATATATCTTTTTATTTTAATCTGAGTGGAGAATCGGGAATCATGAATAAATTGAATGGTACTCCAACTGTCGCTTGTCAACTAATCAGATGATAGAATAGTTTTTGTATCTCTGTCCAAGGCCGTCAATATCAGTTCGGACTCACGCATTTCTAGTCCCAAGGTTAAACCAGTTAGCCCGTCGTGTCAAGGCCTTGACCTAGATTGAGACAAGTTCTCTTCTGTATATTATTGGGTAGACAGATCAAGGATGTAATACTCAGTTGAAGATTTGCTGCCACATCAATCGATTAGTCATCCTTACTTAATGCCCTATTCCTACTTTAGGCATTGTTTACTCCGAAGTCCCAAAATACACGGGCAATACTTCGCAGACACCTACGATCGAATATTAGTAAATAAAAGGCACTTTAACAAATCTTACGGTATCGCAGCTCAACAAACAGATGACGGTAGTTGGCTGCTGCAAATAACCATTTGTTCCCAGCAAGCACTAACTTTAAGTATAGAGACATCGTCTAACATGCAAACCCTCACAATCAACTAAACGATGGACATGAACACACCATATTGTCATCAACTAGTGTAGTACAAACTCGATAAAAGATTCCAGCTTATTCTAGAGATGCTAAAAATCTGATAATGTTCTAGTGTGAGAACAGTTTATCTAAATTTTACTGGACGCAGAAAGCCACAGTAAGAAAATCCATAAGAGTTAACTTTATCGGTGAAGGTCGGGAATATAGTTCAGAAACAATTAGCTAATCCGTAAGTCAAATATGAAAAAGATATTTACACTGAGGTGACGTGGCACTATAGCAGAACACCTGTGTAAACAGCAATACTATTAATCAGAAACCAAAATCAAAATGCGAAGATACACTGAAATGATGAGCTTGTGTCACGTTTTACTTTGCATATCATTGACTGACTGAAAGGATTACTTATGAAAAACTCTTAAGGTGTATACGTAAGCTATTGCAATCACGATAAATGACAGTGTAATTTAAGGAATCAAGATTGCTTATAAAATTTTATAATTATGAATTTCCACCAATGTCACATAAAAATCGAAAAACTAATAAATAAATGTATTTAGTATCAGGAGCTTTCGTCATATTAGGCCTTGTTATGAAGTCAACGACTGATAAGTATTTGATTCTAAAAATTGTGCTCTGAATATATTTCCACTGACGTTTTTAAGTAAAAGTTTTCCAAGTCTTTTTAATTAACTACACTGTGAGTGTATGTTTCGGTGATGCTGCGCGGTTGTCCAAACCAAAGTGGCTGGAGTGGGGTTCGAGCCTGAAACCCAAACTCCTTAACCACCAAGTCATCACTCTATGACTATGTGTAGACTCAAATTACATTTTCCTTACCCAGAAAAAGGTAGTAATAACAATAGACAGACTGCGAGGGCCAACCAGAAAATAAATGCAACAAAAACTATCAAGTACCATTGAGGCTTTATTAGACCATAGTCTGAATTTTATGCTTAAAAATTGTCTAAATTCAATGGGATTCTAACTTGTCTGTTTTTCCAATTATACAAAAGTGTTCATCCGAAAACAGCCTTGAAAAATACTGATTTTAAAACCTAGTGTGAAAGTAGTCAGAAAACATACTTATGTTCAGTTATTGATAACATCCATCTAACTTCACTTAAACGACTCAGGTTACAAGCCTTAAGTGAATTAGTTGCAGATCCATTAAACTTTTCTGAATTACCAAGACGAGGAAACCGAACACTTGTACTAATTCGATTACTTGAATTTGAATTTGACCAGTGGAAACCACGAAGTGGGAAAATGGATTTGGATTTATCGGATCCGCTACTGTTTGTCCCGTTCGACGAAGGACCAGATGAAGGTATGGGACTGGCAACATTCTTGCGTTTATTCAAGAAACGGCTATCACTCAATTTGACTGGAGGTCGGGTGGAGTGAATATGTGGAGAAGAAACAGTTGAAGAAGTAGATGAGCCATTTCCTGACTGTGGGGATGGTAAAGCTGTAGATGTATTACAGCTCAAAACAGAACTAGACGTCATATTCAAAACAGAAGAGTTTGTTATATGAGGAAAAGTAGTATCACAGGTAAGATTCCCGAAGCTGTTGTCTGAATTTTTTATTGCTGAACGAATAAATGCAACTCCTTGACGAATTATATCATCTGTCAGATCCCATAAACACAACATAGTGTCATGCCCAACTGAGCCAAGACTAAAAATTAAGAATATAAAACATTTACACAAAAGTTAGGAAAATAATGTGACAAAAACTGGACTAAACTGTTGAAGTAGTTTTATGGGTGCTCATAGGAATTATTTCAGGCACTTTACATAGCATTACAATACTTAATTGGTAAGCTTACACCGTAAGTAACAGGAATGCAAGTCAATTGTCGGCTAAGAAATAAATATGGAATCACTCACAGCGATTTCATACTTTCCAGTAACGCTCACAAGTTACAAGACTGTTTACAGTAGTAATCACGAGATGAAACAATGGTCAAAAGCAACAACAACGATATGGAACTATTTGTACTGAGTTGCCTTTCAGCAGAAATGTTCACTAAAGACAACAAAACAAAAGTGTGACTTTTGAATCATCAGGCGTTGCAACCTCTATCGACAAGGCTCTATTTATAGTAACTGATGAATGCAAGTGACTTAGGCGAAAACGTAACCACGTGCTTCTACAAGTCCGAAAGTAAATACACGATATTATTTGATACAAGACTGACAATATCAGTCAGTCAGTTAGTCATAGCTTAACGTAAAACGTAACGCATGTTCATCAGTTCAGTTTTTGATATCATATTAGCACAGAGATTTATTTATTTATTTTAACACATAGATATTGGTAAAAGGAGGCACCAAATACATATGCGCCACACAAATCACATTCCATATGTGTGAGGTCTGTGATACTACCTGGGTGCCCAAACCGAAGCAGGTGGTTTTCTTAGGGGACCACTCCCCGAGCCTTCGACCTGAAGGTCTGATCCACAAGGCAGTGGAGCATCGTAAGGAAATGCAGTCCCATGGAAGCCGGTGACCAACGATTGGTTCATACACCATTTGGTCCCGCAGGATACTGGAGCCCATGTGCACCATTGATTTGTAATCCGGTTAAAGCGGCGGACATTCGCTTTTCGTCCTCTCAATTTCGTAAACAACACCCCCGCCACGAGAAGGCAGTGAGTAGGACTTCCCTGGCAGAGATCATACACGCGTGACCATGTGAGAGCATTTCGAGAGGGAGAGCGGACTCTCCCCACTCTCGGCCCTACCAGGGCATTTGGGGGCCAGAGATTAAATTATTAAGAAAAAATCCTAGAATTGCAAAATTAGTAATAGAATCAATAGTAGTAGGAAAGGTTAGGCATAAAAAAGGTTGTAGGTAGACTTCGGGACTCAGGTTCTAAAGTAATACATAGAGTGAATACACCTGCGCCATTGCAAATGATTCTGAGCCATAGCAACAAAAGTGTATAACCATTGGCCCCTAACTTTCTTCCATCCCCAACACAAGACAGAATTACGCGTCGTGGTAATCGGTGTTCAGACATACATAACATGTGGCTCATTCATCTCAATCGATGAAGATTCACAACCTCATCAACTGATTTACCATCATTCCCTAATACCCTACGTCTAACCTCACTATCACATACCCTGTGATCCCAGCAGATGCCAGCAATATTTCTATGGCATCTGTAGTCAAATACTAGTAGCTTACGAATATCTTCTACTCTTAATGGTCACGTCCCGACCGTTGTCGCTACCTTGACGTGGTGGTCGGGCTTGCCTATCGTGATGAAGCAACCGAGCTATACTGGCTGGAACAACTGTTCCCTAAAGTCCTACCATGTCAGACAGGTCGGTTGAAGAGCGGTAAGACTAAGAGCAACAAACCCAAGGTCCGAAGGCGAAGTCGTACTGCTGACTGTACAGTGTGACAGCAGTAAGGTGTTTCCTCCAGACAACTAGCATGACAGCGATGCTGCCTTCCCACAAGGAGGGGTGGGGTTAGAAAAGATCGACCCTGAAAATAAACACCTCACCTTATCCCACGGATATCCGTCTCCGGCGGTAAGGTTTCAACAAGTACGGAACTGACACAAAAATTACTCATAGAAAGGTACCTCCAGAAGAACCCTTCCACGGTGTGAGCAACCGGGAAGTGATAACCGCCCTCATACCTCTAACAGCACTCAAGACCACTGTATTCATAATCAACCTCCGTCTTCAATTCCTATTATTCCTCCTACATCGACTTCCACTTCTAAACTTCCTCTTTCGGCTTCCCCCTCAAGTGTCACCATAGCCAACGATTCTAGTGCTCAAAACACTGTCCTAAGTCTACTGAAATTTCGCTCCAAACTTCACATTGGAGCCTTCAACGTACGCACCCTATGTCAAATCGGTCAACAGGCTTTTTTGGCTAGAACCCTAGAATCTCGTACCATTGATGTATGCTGTATCTCTGAAACACGCATACAGGATCCCAGTGTGGCCATTCACTTGACCTCACCTCGGCAAAAAGGAGAACCAACGAGATACACCCTCCGTGTACCTGGTGACCCGACGGCCAGCTCTCGTGGACTGGCAGGAGTAGGGATAGCACTAAGCATGAGGGCTGAACAAACACTGTTAGTGGATCCCCGTTAACAGTCGTTTATGTGCTGTTCGGCTAAACGTCTCCGTAAGAACTCGGAAGGATAGGGACACACGTCGTTGCCTTTTTGTCGTTTCTGCCTACGCTCCCATCGACTGCAGCTCAGATGAAGTGAAAGATGAATTTTACAGAAAGCTGTCAGAACTTCTTCAGAAAGCTAAACGCTCAGAAAAAGTACTCGTAGCAGGTGACTTTAATGCTCAGATAAGTAGTTTAAACCAAACAGAAAGGCATTTAGGTGGATATTTTAGTATTGCGGCACAGCGAACAGATAATGGTGATCGTCTGCTGCAACTGTGCTCAGACAATCGCTTATTTTTAGCAAACACAAATTTTAAGCATAAGGAGAGACATCGTCTAACATGGCGATCCCCTACGCCAAACCAACGATGGACTCAAATAGACCATATTGCCATCAGTCATCTTTGGAGATGGTCGGTAGAAGATTGTCACTCATTCTGGAGTACCTGCTTGGACTCCGACCACGCCCTAATACGGGCACGCAACCACTTGCGCCTTACTGGACGCAAAACAGCCACACCAAAAAGACTCATTAGAACTGAATTGAGTAGCGAGAAAACCAAAAGTAGGTTCCAGGAACAACTGAGGTCGCACGCCATTTGTTCCTTCAAGATACTGAAGCCCATGTGCACCATTGGTTTGGAATCAGGGTTTTTCAACTCCCCTAGGTGGACTCTCAGTGTCCACCAACCCAGTTAAGACGCTGGACATTCGCCCTTTCAAATTCGTGAACAACACCCCTGCCACGAGAAGGCAATAAGCAGGACTTCCCTAGCAGAGGCTATATACGCGTGGCCATGTGAGAGCATTTCGAGAGGGAGAGCGGACTCTCCACTTTTAGCCGTACCAGGGCATTTGTGGGCAGTACAACTAAACATTTCTGACTGACTTTGATGACCATAACTCGATAAAAAACACCTTTTCAGTATGTATTTACTTTGTACATAAAATATTAGGTGATGACAACATTTAAATACAATGTGCACATATGTCATACAAATGACTTCTGATGGGCTAAATATTGCTATCTTAACTTTTAGGGCAACTGAGTTAAATGACATTTTTTCACTGGTGGAAAAGATGAGTGCTTATCAGAAACTCAGTATTATTAGATGTTCCAGTCTGATTATAATTAGTAGTCCGATTTTCAAGCAACGGATATTTGAGACATAGCTAGTCCAAGTTAAGCACAGACTGGGTAGAAAACTCCGAGACAAATACTGATTCGGTACACTTAAAGTTTGAAAATATTGATTGCACAAGATCAACAGCCCTCTTTCTATTCGTAATCTTCCCTATAATTCGGACACTGATATGTTAAGCATAATGCTGCAATGTTACGTACAGTTTCCAGTATTTAGGGACAAAAATAGACTTCACAACACTTGAGTAGGAGTGTCGCTAACGAGCAAATAGAATCCGATATAGTGTATTATCTTAAGCGATACTAATGGTATAATTGACAGTTACACACAGCATTCGAAGCAAAGCAAAAAGGATTGGCCTCTGAGTGGAAAAGAAATATAAACCTTTGTTAGTACCCCGAGGTTTGAATTTTAACTTATAAGTAATTTGTCAAAATAGGTCTTCAAAACCATTATTCAAGAAAATAAAAATAACAAAATACTAGAAAAGACGTAACAAGAGAGCAACTAACCGGTAAGTTTTAAGGTCATTACTTTCACAAACTGTAACAGGTGAATTTCTAATAACTGAACTTTCGTCCAACTCTTCATGGTTCGTTGTAAGTGAGTGGGAACGTGAGGAGGCAGATACTGAGTCATCATTAGAAATATCATTATTAGTGGGGCATAGATATGGATCGAAGCGCACCATGCTAACCCAAGATTTGTGGCCCTGACAGCGACAAATAACAGCTCTGTCTAGAACTGACCAAATCGTTACTAGGTCATCTTGTCCCCCAGTGACAATAAATAAACTATCTGGGGACCAGTCTACACAAAGTAAACCACCAAAGTATGAACGCATGAACCCCTATAACAGAGAAAAACATCCAAAACAACCAATATTCTAAACAGCCAATTTCAACATAATGCTGTGAATTATAAGACTAAGAAAAAACTGGTAAATTTAATACACTGAAATCCTGTTACATTGTTTCATATTTAAAACCTCATAGTATTTGAAAATGAGTATATGCACTGCGACTGATCAGAACAAACATGCAACTGGTGAGCTTACTAGTTACTTACAAGTCCCTTCAAGTTTGGTGACGAAAGGCACAATAATCTATTAGATGTATGTGGTACGAATCTCGAGAGATATAATGAGCAATGTTTAAAACTAGATCCGATTATTATTACCAGTTTTCACACAGTCCAACAGGTAGGAATAGTTACCCAAACGACTCGAACAAGCACTAAATAGTTCTCATTTGGGTAAGGTAAATTCAACTGATTTAAATACATTTACATCCAAAGATTTAACAACTAATTTCCATTTAGCGTGTTACACCTTCCACTTGGAGGTTTTACCACACAGGACAAGCAGTTAAAGTACTACTAGCTCAATACGTGTAGATTTTCAGTATCTATTAAAAAGGCCGAATTTCACGACTTTGCAATAAAACATACTCAATTACTGCTGAATTGTCACTTTACAAGATACAGAACATTTCTCGTCATATGAGCTTAACGTCTCTATGCTGTTTTCGATGATACTATAAGCGCTCGTACATCTATCAAGTTAGATAACACAGACGTAAGCTAAAATCACTACTAAGAACATTGCATTCCATTTATTATATTCTTCAGTAGATGCTTGATACAGTCAGAAGACTTTCCTGACCACAAACGATCAACTGTCTCACGAATTAAACTACAGTGTTCTATAGTGATAGGATTACCTTTGACGGGATAAACATTAATTATAATTTCGACCATAAATAAACGTCCTGATGGGTGAGTAGAAAGAATGAATTTGTTTGATTGTGACCCACAAATTCACATGACCTCTTGTGTAAGGATAAATGTTTGAATTTTTGAGATACTTTTTATTAAATTATTTGCTCATATCCATACTGTCACTGAGTCAAATAAACTGGGTGCTATAGAGATATATACTGTAAACTGAGCATAACCCCAATCAAAACCAGGATATTCTTACTCTAGCGTGGGTGCAGTTCTGTAAGACAGAAAGATAGAACACCTTTCTCAACGCTTTGAAAGACTGTGAATCTCTGATGAGTTTTTTTTAATATGAATGTGGGATGATGTGATAAAACAAGTACAAAACAATACCTAGACTGTAAGAGTTCATCAAATTTACTTTATTTTTTAAAGCCACATCGCTCTTCATGGTTTGGTTGTCTTTTACTGAAGCCGATTTTCCACCTTATATAGAATATAATTGGTCTTAAAACATCACTTTACGTCCTTATTTGGATCTACAACCAAATACTGGACGAAAATAGGACGAAAACTAATGCACAAAACATAGCCTAGAAGTATTTGTTCCATCCTGTCTCAATACATTTGTAAATCCCAATAGTGAATTATCACATTTCAAAGATGAGAAAGAAATGCGCTTTTAGTTGTTTAAAGATATTAAATAATGAGGTAACATGCAGTAAAAACTCACGTATAGCTCCATCTCATGATACTCCATCACCCTCATGTAACCATCTTCTGTAATGATGGCAAGGAAACGGCCACAAGGAGAAAATGCAAACTGATTGATGGAAACATTATTATCATCAAACAATGAGCTAATAGCTGATGAGTCACAACTTAACGAATCGGTTTGCGTCTCACATATTTTGTTGGCAACGAATCCATTAATGTGGTCAGAAGTTTTCGACGGTGGTTTCGTGTTATCCAACTTTGATGTGTTAGGACTTCCCAAAGACCATCGATACAATGGGTTTCTTGTAGATTTCGTCTTACAGGTATGTACTGAAAACCCAATACCTTGTTTAAATAGGTTATATGTTGGAGCTGACAGCTGTGCAAGTGTTTCATCGTACAAATACATACACCCACTGGAATGACTGACTAAGAACTGGTGAGGTGAATGAGGAACCCAGCCGACACAGGTTACGGGAGTTTCATCGACAGACTTCTATGAAAGCATGAAATGTAGAAAACACACATACCCCTTCATTGAAAACTTTGTTTGGGTCTTCTTTGAGAGGATCAATCAACTTTATTTCACCATTGGCCAATCCAATCAATAACTGAGAGTCTCTTACTTTGTCTGTGGCACGTCTAAAGCAATGTGATGTTAAAGGTGCTCTGAATCTAATGTGGGCTGGAGAACCACCACAGAATCTGCGCTCGTTCGAAGAATGCGCGTGATCCTGTGTATATATGCGTATTTCATTTCCTACGTTAATGCAAAATATGCTGCCTAACAGAAGTTACAACCAGTAATTTTAAAAAGATCAACGAACCATCGATACTTGTGTCTGTTTGGAAATGAGGAGTCTCATTTTTGCAGTAGTATTCAAGAAAAGATAAGCGGATGGCAGCGTTACCGACGCCAAATTGATTCATTTGTATCTGCTTCTCCAGCACACATGGTTCGGACGTAAAAGATTGATATCGACCTTCTATTGCATCGAAAGAATGTGACATAGGCGGAGATAGACACAGGTTGATATACTACGGCACGACACACCATATGAAAAAACCACGACAATCTCTTGCACCCATAGAATACTTCCAGCAATCCGCCAACCTATTCCATGTGACCTAGAGTTAGTCTGTCTTGTAACAACTTTAAACAGTGTGGTTTTGTTTCATTTCAGAGACTTTTAATTAACTAGTAAGGTTGGAATATTTTAGTGAGCTTACATGCTTCTAAGAAATTCGACCTTTCGAAATAATGTAACTTTTGTGCCCAGTGTTGATTCAGATCCAGAATTGTGTAGTAAGGACAGAAGGCCTACGGCCTATGTTGTTCCTTTTCTAGTATGCTTCTATGAGTGTCTAGTCTTCTCTCGAATGAGTCAGTTGAAGGTGCGGACACTACTACTTTGGGTAATAGGCTCCAAGAATTAATGATTCGGTGTGAAAACCCGTATGCCACGGGTATTTTGTTTGTTATTGGCTTTTCTACTCGACTGCTATGTCCTCTGAGATATCCCGATCTAGTGAAAAGAAAAAGAGGGGATAGATCAGGTCCAGCATTTTTTCTTAGTATCCTATATGCATCAAAATCAGATCACTTCCTAGTCTGTGACAGCACAAAGTAAGAGGTCCAGCTTTCCAAGCTGCTCTTTGTATGGCAAACATCGGAGTTCTGGAACTGCACGGATAGCTGCCCTCTGTACTTTTCCAAGGATATCCGAGTCACCTTTTAAACAGGGGCTTACAGTCTGAACGCAGTTTTCAAGCTTAGTCCCCACTAAGATTGTGTATACTGTAGTGAACATTGTAGTATCTAACGTGGTGAAGGTTCAGCTTAAAGCCCATAGGGTTCCAAACCCCTTACCTGCAATCTCCCAACAGTGAACCGTGGTCTTAAGATAATGACTCACTATCACCCGAAGATCCTTATGAGATCGGACTACGAGTACAGGCACTTCCTCTATGTTGCATCTATTTACCGTTGTATCCCTAAAGTGCATATAGACACACTTTGCCGCGTTGATAGGCGTTAACCACTCTTTAATCCAGCTAATCACAATATTTAAGTCTGCCTGAAGTACGCATGCATCTATGTCTCCCATTATTTCTCGTCAGATTTTTACATCGTCAGCGTATAACAGCATTAGGAACTTAACTATACTAAACTATACAATACATCCAGGATAAAAGGTAAAGGAACTAAGACAGAACCTTGAGGTACTCCACTAAGTACTGGTCTCCAGGTGGTACACTTTCTGTCTAAGACCTACTAGAGAATCCTTAAACCACTTAAGGAGAGGTCCGGCAACGCCTAGATTTTCGAGCTTTAATAGCAGTTCATTTGTTAGCAGCTTGTCAAATGCTATGCTGAAGTCTATATAGACAACACCCACTGATCTTATATTGTCTAGCGCTTTTGTCCGTTGTTTCCTTGCTATAAGGAGGTTAGTCGTGCAAAGTCAACCTTTTCTGAAACCATGTTATCCGCTGTTTAACAAGTCATTAGTTTTCCACCAATGTAATTATGGTCTTTTTGACTATTCTTTCCAGTACATTACCTACGACACTGGTGAGGCTAATAGTTCTGTAGTTCGATAAAAGTTGCCTCGGTCCTGTTTTATGAATAGGAGTGACGATTGTATCTTTCCAGTCTGTAGGGAACACGACTTGGCCAGGTGACATATTGAATATCGCAGTTAGTGGGGTCCTTAGCGAATCGAGACTGAGTGTGCAAGTCACTGTGCGTAGGAAAAATTGAAAAGCACAAAAACGAGGAGGGAAATGGGTAGATGGTTCGGTAACATCACAATGAGCACTTCACTTAATTAGAGAAGAAAACCGACAGTGATTATTAGTAACGTAAGTCGTGTGTGAATGTGTTAGGGACGGTATTTCACCAAAATTCACATTTGTAATTTTATCATATCGATTAACTTATCGATTAAGTGTTTAAATATTTGAATGGACTTCTCCTTCTAGATAGCGGGGCTGTGACGCATCAATAGCCAGATTACTGGTCTTTGGTCACTGAGTCTTGTTCTCGTTCGCAGAGTAAGTGAACTCGTGAAGCTTCAAACCTAACAATTTGGCGACGGTGGTTTGGGAAACATGAATCCTTCTAAACTTGAATTGTTACTCCAGCAGCAGATAAAACTTATTCAAATGTTAGCAGATGCAAAGCTTACGTCTAATTCTCAACCAAGCAGTTCTAATCCTACTACTACTGTACCATCAGTTGATGGTATCGCTAACAGTATCTCCGAGTTTCATTACGATCCAGAATCCAATGTCACGTTTGATATGTGGTTTCGACGTTACGAAGACTTATTCAAATTCGACTTTACTAATCAGGATGATGCTTGGAAGGTCCGCTTGCGGCTTAGAAAGTTGGATCCTAGTGAACTAGACAGGTGTTGCAACCTAATCCTGCCTCTAAACCCACGCGATCGTTCATTCTCGGACACTTTCCAGTCATTGAGCCAACAATTCAGAGACCACTCCTCACTATTCAACGCGCGCTATCAATGTTTGAAGCTCACTATGAACGAAGATGATGATTTTCTCACACATATGGGGATCGTTAACCGAGAATGTGAACGCTTCCGGTTGAATTCGCTTACTGAAGACCAATTTAAAGCACTCATTCTCATCTACAGCCTTCAATCGCAAAAGTTCAGTGACATTAGAGCACGTTTGCTTAGTCGATTGGACCAAAACCTAAAACTAACTTTTATTGATATTGCAAACGAATATCAACGTCTAATCAATCTACAGCGTGATACTACGATGGTCCAGCGTGGTGGTTCAGGTTGTGCCGAAATTCATGTAGTCCAACAACCACCTAACTCTCATAAGTCTGCCCTAGCGACATCTAGTTCAGGTCGACAGGCAAAAACAAATCCTCCTGCCCCATGCTAGCACTGCGATGCATGGCATTTTGTTCGATACTGTCCATACAAGCAACATCGGTGCAGGAAATGTAATGCGGTGGGTCACAAAGATGGTTTTTGTCAAAAAAAAGCCGAGCAGCTCCAGAGGTACCAGAATACTTACGCCTGGACCCAACACCAATTCGTTGAGTTTAATAGCAAGCTGTGAGAACTCAACCCCAGTTGAGAGGAAATTTATTACCCTTAATATTAATGGGCACCCGTTTAGCTTGCAAATAGACACTGCATCTGATGTAACAATTCTCTCACGAAAATATTGGATCAGAATGGGAAGACCACGCATGGTGCCAACAACACAGAAACGTCGAACCGCATGCGATAATTGCCTATGTTTGTTGGGACAACTAGATTGTAAAGTGTCTTTTCACAATTCGACGTTTACCGGGCTATGTTACATTGTAACAGCTTAGGTTGGTTGGTTCAGAGTTGACCCCAAACAACCAAGCATATGCCAAAACAGTATTGTTCAAGTATTCATTCACTTCCTTGTTTTGTATAAGCGTTATATTCCCTATTATCTTATATTGAATGTTGAGAGCCTTTGTTTGTCTGAACAGATAATCCCATGCTCCACTGTCACCGCGCGAAGATCGAAATAAAGACCTATTCACTACTTGTCTGGTTTCTTCTATCAATAGCACGAGGGTTACCTTAAGGCACGAAACTGGTGAGCCCTTTTTGAATACAAATTTAACCTCATTTCTGTTATTAACATTTTTTTTACTTAATCGTAAAAGTAGACCTGATTATCCGTAAACTAATTTGAGTATATAACTAGTTTATTCCGTATTATCTTAAGTTATTCGTGTTATAGTAACCACTTTTTGTGCTAACTTTATTGCTATATTTGTCACATACCTCATGTCAAACTCAATAGAAACCCATAATCTGGAGGATTTGTCACCAGTGGAGATAGACACTGTTATGACTACGAAATCCCGACTTCCAGAATTTGATCGTAGTGATCCTGAGTTGTGGTTTGCTCAACTAGAGCATTATTTCACGAGACACAATATCAAATCTGAAGGGATTCGCTATAGAGACTTGTGTTCTATCCTTCCTCCTTCAGCCGCCAAAGAAGTCCGTGACTTGATTTTAAGTCCACCATCACCACAACCATACACCATCTTAAGACGAGAGATAATGAACCGTTTATCATTATCAGATAGTCAAAGAATCCAAAGACTTTTTCAAGGTGAGACACTAGGTGATCGGTCGCCGTCACAGTTTTTACGTCACCTCCAAGTCTTAGTGGGTGATAACACAGTGGGTGAAGCAGTCCTAAAACAAGGATGGATACAAGCTCTCCCATGCTACGTCCAACACTGTTTGGATGCACAGGATCCTGAAACCTCATTATCTCATTTAGCGCGTATAGCCGACAGAATAATGGAAAGAGGTCCTCCAACTGGATCGGGCACAATAAATCACACACAAAAAGTAGAATCAGCAAAAGACCCCGTAATAGAAGAACTCATTGCGAGTGTTAAGAGTCTCACTGAGGCTGTCACCAGAATGCAAATGGGTCATAGAAACAGGAGCAGGTCACCACAACGACCACGATCCAAGTCACAAAACAGGTCACAAATGTCCAGACAATCTGGGCAGTTTTGTTGGTACCACTGGAAGTTTGGTGGCAACTCAACCAAGTGCATGCAACCATGCGCCTGGCCTAAGCATAATTCTAAGACAGCGAGAAACGAGTAACCCCTCCCCAGGTCGCGACGACTGAGGAGGGGCGCCTAAACAGTCGCTTGTTTTATGTTAGAGACAGAAACTCGGGCTTGAATTTCTTGGTGGATACTGGCGCTGCTCTTAGCATCATCCCTCGAAATAAAACTGAGATTAATCGAGAAGCATCATCAATTACACTTCAAGCTGCAAATAAAACTAAAATTGCGACATTTGGGCAGAAAACTTTAACCCTAGATTTGGGGTTCAGGAGGCAATTCCCTTGGGTTTTCACGGTAGCCGACCTAGATCTGGCAATACTGGGGATGGACTTTCTAGAGAGATACGAATTTCTAGTTGACACCAAGAAACGGCGATTAACACTAAAAGAAACTTCGTATTACACAAAAGGCAAAGAAAGTCACATCAACTCTCTTAACTTGATTCAAACTCCCCCAGTAACAACAGCGAAATTCCAAGATATACTCGCGGAATTTCCAAACTTAACTAAACCAAACCCACAGCCTTCTAAAGACAA